TTATTTTCACCTGTAACTCTCCCAGCTCTTTATAAAGGCAGGTAATTCCAATTTTGCATGCTTTACAGATTTGGTTGCAAGACACAAGGAGTTTTGAGTCACTTGACTAAGTTTGAGTCACTTGACTAAGCTAGTGGAAGAGAAACTGAATTTAAGTCATTTGACTCTCAGTCCTATGCTCAATTTTGTAGGCCACAGCTGTCCTCTGAAAAGCTTGTTGTGAGACTAAATGAATTATTGTACTTTGCTTTCTAGTCCTTGGATGAAAGTTCTACAAAATAAAAAATATAAGTATATTATAAATGTATATAAACATAAAATATTTTGTTTAATTATGACCTAAAAGGACTATGAGAAACTTCAGATGGGCCTAGCAAAGCTGTTTCAATAGATAAGATGAAAGATAAGTTGTTTACAAAAGCAAGGTTGTGCATGTCAGAAGGATTTATTTGAACTAATCATACAGGCTGTGTAGTCTAAATTAGCCCCAAGAAAAAGAACACGGGCATCATTGCATACATGTCAATGAAACCATTGACCTAATGACAGCACATGTAAAAAATGGGATAGAAAATAATACTGAAAACATTATGATGCCCTCATCTGGAGTACTGTGTTCAGTTCTTGTCACCCCTATCTCTGAAAACATCTATCAGAATTTAAAGTTCTGGCAACAGACGTTATTAGAGGCACAACAAGACTGATTTATAAGGAAAAATTGGAAAGTCTATGAAGTAATTTACAAGTCCTGCCAGGAAGTTTAACGGATAGTTCGAAATACCGGGCTTTAATTCGAAATACTGGGTCCTTGCCGCGTGTCAACACGGGCAGTTAGTCTGGACTTGTAAATTTCAAAAATGGCTACCAGCTGGGAAGATGCAAATCAAGCGTGGGATATTTAAATCCCAGGCTTGATTTGCAACTTCAAATGCCTACATTAGCCTCCCTAGTTCGAACTGGGGGGCTAGTGTAGACATACCCTGAATGTTTATACCAGAGGAGAAACAAATATGAGGGCATATGATAAAGATATAAAAATAAGGAATAGTATAGAAAAGGTAAATTGAGCACTTTTATTTATCCTTTCTCATAACATAAGAACAATTGAATAGTCATTATCACTGAAAGAAAATGAACATAAAAATTGTACAAATGAATAGGTTTTTTACACTACTGATAATAAACTTTTGGAAAACACTGCCTCAACAGATCAGTGAGACCAATAATTTACTATGCAGTTTTATACTACTATGACAACAATCATAATTAAATGAGATAGGATTAATAATCTTTTTTAGAAAATATAAACCTTCCAGATTCAGAATATAAGGAGACCACTACCTAAAGGCTTGTTTTCATTTTTAAAAATGCAGCATACACACTACCTACACTGATGAGACAGGTTCTCCCATCATCATAGATAATCCACCTCCTTGAAAGGCAGTGTTTAGGTTGACAGAAAAAAAATCATCCATTTACCTAGAGCTGTCCACATGGGGACTTAGGTCTGTTTAGCTAAGTTGCTCAGGGAGATGCATTTTTCATACCACTCACTGATGTATCTAAACCAACATAATTTTCTAATGTACATCAGGCCTAACAGAGATCAAGAAAGAAGGTCATTCCACAAATTTCTATTTTGTGGTTTCTTGCACATGCCTATGAAGTATCTGGTACTTACTGGTCACTGTCAGAAACAGATACTGTGCTTGATAGATCAGGAATCTGATCCAGTATAACAATGCTTATATTCACAATATAAAAATCAAACTATAAGAAAAATAATACATCCTCTTCTGCCATAATAATTCCTTTTTAATGGCCCTATTAGATAAACAATTGATGCTTGTTGGACAAGATTGCACAAATGAGTAGTGTCTCCTTGTACGGAAAGCTACCAGAGCAGTGGGAAAAGACTCAGCAGGTATTTCTGGTTCTGCAGATCTTACAAATTAGCAAATCTTTTCATACTGCATTTTCACAGCCAGTCTGTTAAAATTTCTTCTCCATCACCCTCTCACTACAGCTGACATCACAGCTAATAATACAAACAAAACCTCAATCTACATCTGACATTCATGTAGGCTGGTAATGTACTGTACAAATTCGTCATAAAGAAAGCTAAGCCATTTGTGCTATTGTTTCAATTTTTTGTTTTTTGCCAAACTGAAAAAGTAGAACGAGACATCTAATGAATAAATGTGGGAAGTTACATTTCATTATCAGTATTTACTCTGGTTGCAGTAGATTCAGCCTTCTTCCGTTTGCTGAAACATGAAAGATGCCTTGTTTTCATTAGTGTTCCTATATTGCACAGAGAATGCAACAAAGGTATCCAAAGGTTTTACATTACTGAACTGAAAAATATCTTTTCAAACTTTAAAATGAAAGTAAATCCAAAGTAATTAGTTATAACTGCATTGCTTTGCACTGATTGCAATTAAATGGTAAATATTTGAAGTAATAACAATTAAAAAACTAATATAACTTTCAAAGGGCTGTTTCCATGGAAAATCCAAATGAAAAACCAATACAAATCCTGATTAAAACCTAACCAACCAAAACACTGCAGATTACCAAGATTCCAATTAAATATGACAAATGAATACTTGACAAGTTTCAATTCCAATTCTATTTATGTCAGAATGATCCATTAATACTGAAGATTAAATTACCAGAATTTGAGCAATGCAATTGTACTATATAGCTAGACAAGTCATCTTCAAATCTGGCTCACAGAAAGCACTCACTCAAATGTCAAATGCTACATTTATAGAGGACCTAAAGTGCATTGCATCTTGTTCTGTCATCACCTATTGACTAATGTTAACAAAAATTTCTGGAGGCAGATGACATGCCACTGTCTAAATCCTGTTTTAAAAAGTGACAGCAGAATTCAAAAGTCAGTGGAGTATAATTTTCATCGCAATGTCACCCACATTTCATGGGGTTCAGTTCAAGATTTTGTGACTGTGACAAAAAATCTTCCTTGCTGTCTGCAATCATTTGAGACTTCTAACCTGCTACTCTTGTTTTGGAAATGTTCTTGGCATAATACTTTCATGTGCTAATTTGGTCTGGTTGTGCTTCTACTTATTCTCAAATCTACCTTATATAAGTATGTGATCTTAAAAAAGAAAAGTTACTTTCATCCTCAAAAAATAGCCTAATTTCATTTTTTTTTAGTTTAACAACGAATATACAATAGAAATAGCTGACTCACAATTTCCAAAATTTAGGCAAACTAGAGTACATTGTATGTTGGAACTTCTGAGAAGTGAATAAATGTGGATAAAGCCACTTCTATTATTTAATGAAAGTAAGGATCAATCATAATCCTAAAGTTTATCCAAGGCTCCTTGTTTATATATTGTTTTATACAATATTGGATCCTTTAAGAACTGTGAACTTACTTAATTAAATCTCCAAAATACTTTTCTCTATTGCTCGGTATCTACCTGGATATAGCCAGTGCTTTAGCCTCATTTTCCTAAGCACTAAATATCAGTCTTAAACTAACAATCATAAAAGTATATCACAATGAAGGAAGCAGGTTCCCAAGAGCTTTCATTTTTTCTACCTCCTAAAATAATTTTGTATGTATATATATGCATGCAATGATTACTGAATTTAGGATAATTATTGTTTCCACTCAGTAGGGGGTCCATAATCTGTATGACTTGAAATAGTCATGCATTGTTGAAACACAGACCCTCAGCAAATGTAGACTGCTGCAGTCCTTCTTCCTTATATACATTACATTTCTCAATTTCCTGACCACAGAGAATTATCTATTTTTATTGGGTCAATATGTCTATCTTAGGGGAAAAAACCAAGAAGAACAATTTTGAATTGCTGACTTGAACCTTTGAAGGAAGCTAACGTCATGCACAATGCCAAACCAAATCCGCACTGTGTCTGAGGAGCTTATGAAACTCCATCCTCCTAACATATACAACTATACAAACTTGATTGGCAAACCCATCATTTAGCACATCAGAGCTCTTTGACATGCAGCAATCAACTATAGAGTTTATGGATACCATCCAAAGCCCACTGAAGTCCATGCACATTGACTTCAATGAGCTTTAGATAACTGTGGAATAGAAAATTATTTAAGCTCTATTATAAAAAGTATTTTGAAGTCCTCTATTTTCTATATAATTGTAGACACAAAAGAAAATTGAAGACTATTAAGTATTTAATTCCATAATTTTGTAATTACGGAACAATTACTTGTAATGCAAATCAGGATGCATTCCCTAGTCCATCCCCATGTATTAAAAAATCCTTAATTTAAATGATATTTTATAAAAGTATTTTTCACAATATACCATAGAAGAAGAAAGAAAACAGTGCTTTCCTTTCTAAATAATTCAGCACTGAGTAGAAACCTTAATATTATTTTGAAAACACGCTGCACACTATCGGGGGAAAGGTGAGATATTACATGGAGATTTTTAATTCCTATTTTCTTTATGCTGATGCTGCATAAATTCAGTTTCAGGAAAATGTCATAAGCAATGGCTGTATGACAAATACAAAAATGGATGAAGAAAAGAGAACACACATCCCTTGTCGGTTCCTTTTGTTAAAAAACGTGTATGCAATTTAATTTCCTTCAACCAAACCCCTGGTCTGATTTTTTAAAAAATTATTTAACTTTTTCAGCAATGTAGTTTTATAATATAAAAAAAAATGCTGCTGATTTTATTTGTATGATTATGTTCCATTATTTTGTATTGCTGCGTTTTAACAAATCTTACCATTTAAAATAAAATAGTTATAATTTATGCTATTTTATTTTATTATTTTGGACTGACCTTTCCACAAGTCTACTTATTATGGCTCACTAGTGTGATTATGTGTGTGAATGTTGTGTTTGCCCCTACCATTTTCCATATGCTCTGCCTCACCAACACTGCCATCCGGCGTAGTCCTTTCGTAGTTGTCCTCTGGGAGTGGAAGGGCACCCAGTCTTGGCCCTGATGAACTCTTACTGCTTGGTGTTTCTGACTCCTCCAGACCGCTGTCATAGCAACTCTGCAATGACCCTTGATGTGGGTCCTGAGGCTGACTCACAACAGAAAACGTCACTCTACGAAATGGCTGCAAGAGAAAAGATTCTGAATGTCACTGAAAAGTTAGATCTTTGAACAAGTGATTCTCAAAACATGACTTAAAACATACTAATACTAATATCTTAATGTTGACTAATTGAACATAAACCTTTGAAATTTTGTCTAATTTAAAATAAACAATGTGTAGTCTTTGAGGTGGCATGAGGATTGCTATGGATTTTTCATCTACATTAATGTAGGCTGACCCTAGACAAGTTTTTAAAAACCCCTATATCAGGTAAGAGAGAAACTATACAAGATTTACAAGATAAATGCTCAATTTTGAATTATGCTGTGACTGCTGGTAACACAAACACACACATAGACCATTTTAAAATCAATGTCCGTAGTTTTAGAAGCCAATCAATGTAAGACAGATACTAGAAACATAATGTACAGTCTCTCCTAGTTCTTTTGCCATAAAATTTAATGCCTGCAGATTGGGTGTGCTGCTAACTGACTTTATAAAGTCTTTAAAGTACCACTGGCACAGCTGAAACCAGATGCTTCCACTGGGACCATTCAAATTTTGATTATTATGGATTTGTGTTCATTCAAAATGTCAAATATTACAGAAGAAATAACTGTTGCTATAAAAGTTTACATACTGAACTCAGACACTCAAGATTATTTCAAGAAGTGGGTGCATTTTACCCTCAACGTTTAGAAGACACTAAATGTAGACTGGAAATTAGGAGGGAAAAAAAGCTAGATATCTACCTCCCATTGAAACATGCTGCACATTTCAATTGATTTTAATGCCAGTTAATAGGTATTAGGTTTTTTAAGTATTGCATCAGAAGTAACAAACAATAATAGCACATTTAATTTACTATTAATAGAATGCATTTCTATGTTGCAAAAAAGCTATTATACTAGAAAATTAGACCATATTTTAATCTCTAATCTGCACAAGGCAATTTTGTTTGTGTGTGTGTCACCTTCCACTCATATTGCCATTACCACTTGGCTCTACAAAGTACTGTGCAAACATTAATGTAAACAAAAACTACGATCCTGAAAAGTGATGAATGAGTTTAAAGGTGGATCTTTTTGCTTTACTGGGGCATGTTTTGAAGGTGTAAAGCAATCTGTTAAGTGTTAATGTTAAATCTAGGTAGGATTATGCATATAAAGTAATAAGCAGGTACTCTTGTAAACCAGTAAATCATGGCAGACTATAAACGCGATTTTTGTGTTAATATTAGAAAAATTGAGATTGACAGTATGTTCGTGGTAAATCTTAAAACTTTTAAAGTTTGCTGATATTAATTGATATTGAGTGTCAGACTGTAAGTTTTACTTGTGACTCTAAAGTATGTCCATGATGAGGAGCAGAAATAAAGGTGAAAAAAGGGGCAAATAAACTACAAAGTGGAGATCCAAAGCTCTGAAAGTGGGAGGAGAGGACAGACAGCAAGACAGAGGGTTAGTGCTCTTGTATAGGAACCTTCGCACTATTTAATGTCAGATTCTTTTTCTTGGGGAGCCTTGGCAAGGTGGATTTTGATGGTTGTATCCCTTTCTACATGACCCAAAGCTCTTTCTCCTTAAAAGGAGCATTCTTCAGCAAATCAGCATGCTGAACCTCATAGGAATTTTAAATCCCTTTCCAGGGGTGTTAAAGCAGTAGGGAAGAATAAGGTCACTAATATTCTGCACTGTAAAATATTTAGATCATATGTATTCCATTTCATATGTTAGATTACATAGTGTGTCATTTGCTATTAACAGTTTGCTCACGTATATCTTGTATTTAAATAATGGTTTAGTGCTTAATTCATATAATTTTATGTCTATACAGCTAGCTATCATGTTATCTTTAATACTGTAGACAGCCACTTCAACTCACTGTATTTTCTCAGTCCATTGGACTTTAAAGAATTTTAAATGGATGCCAAACATGGATATATCTATTTTTCTCTACCATGACTTTTTCAGATAATTTAAGAATACTCTCAAGTACAACTGTGATCCTATACAGATTTACTTTACAAGGATAAGTAAATCAACGAAATATCACTATTCTCATTACATTGACAGAACTTAGAGGATATTCCCATCATTTGCTATATTCATTTCTTCATATTGTGACCCTGTAAGGTGACTGGTCACCTTACTTGAGTACACTGGAGATGAGATATTTTTGTTTTGTTAAATATGGGCATATTATTTCCTAGGAATATTAAAGCTCCTATTACATTTCAAACGGATCATTTAGGCTTTGTCTACACTGCAGTGTTTTTATGCCAGAAGATTTTGCAGAAGAGATCTTCCGCAAAAACTTCTTGTGCAAAAATGCATCCACACCTGAAAAGCACATCGCAAAAGCAATGCGCTTTTGCACAAGAGAGCATCCACTCCATGGACGCTCTTGCGCAAGAAAACTCTGATTGCTATTAACAGAATGGCCATCAGAGCACCTGAGCATTTTCTGATAGGCTCTTTTTGTGCAAGAATCCCCTGCAGAGCATCTACACATGCCTTTTCGCGCAAGAGCTGTAGCGCAAAAAGGAGTTATTCCTCGTGGGGAGAGGAATAACTTTATCAACAAAAGCCCTCTGTTCTGTCAATTTACTGTATTTTTTTGCGCAAAACGCGCATGAGGTATAGACGCTCTGCCAGTTTTGGGCAAAACCAACAATTTTTGTGCAAAAACCTTTTAGTATAGACATAGCCATAGTGTGGTCCACTGAACAACTTGATTGTAATAAAATGGTGTGGGAGGGAAAAGTATGTGCCAATTATAGATGCTGTCAGAACAAGAAACTTAAAATATGGAACATATTTATAATAAATCTGTTTACCTACATAAGCTTAATATACATCTGGCAAATTCCTTATAGTTCTAAAGGAAAATGAAAAGCAAAAAGAGTGTCAACAAAAAAAAAACCCAATGCTCTCAGCTAAGCAATTAAAACACCAAGTATTTTTTAAAAATCAGATTAAAATATTATGTGTAAGTAAAAGCTGCCAATGCACCATGAGCTATAAAACATCTCTTCCTTTGAATATACAGTATTATGCTAACAGGAATAAATCATGCCCCTTCCCTGCTGCAACAAATGGACCCTGTGCCGCAGAAGTTGTGCCTGATGTGTATGTGCTGCACACACTCTTTGAAGCACCAAGTTCTGTTCCAGGTTTGCTCTGTGCATGTGAACGAGTGGACAACTGTAAGGCTCCGGCAGAGAAACTACTGTCTCTGTATAGAGTAAGGGATGAAGCATGTAAAGCCCTGTACAAATCATTAAAGAGTAGCCTCTACAGTTGCTCTAAGGCCTAGGAGAAGGATTTGTTCCCACCTACTATCAGTTCATCGTCTCAGTGCCCAGCATCACTTCTCAGGGCATGTCTACACTGCAGGCTTCTTTTGGAATAAGCTTTTCCAGAAGATATCTTACGGAAAAGCTTGTCTCAAAATAGAGTGCCCACACTACAGTCCACAAGCCTCAAAATTAGTCCAAAGCAGGCTCCCCGAATGTGGACATGCCACCTCGACTTCAATTGCATCCACACTGCAACCGCATTCTTCCGAAAGAAAATCGAAAGAACAGAGGGGTTTTTCTGACATTAGTAATCCTCATTATATGAGGAAGAAGCCTTTTTCTGAAAGTGCTCTTTTGGAAAAAGGCATGTGTGTGAAGCAAACGGGGAGGGGGAGAAAGAGGGAGTTCTTTCGAAAGAAGATGAAAGAGGAAAAAGCACAGGTGCCCTCCGTCCATAGTAATCACACTCCATCCATAGTAATCACAGCTTAAATGCCAGATAGAGTCCATTCAGTGTGAATGTAATATTTTGAAAAAGCAGATTGCTTTTTCAATGTCTTTTGCAGTGAGGATGCTCTCTTTTGGAAGAAGTTTTTCCGGAAACTCTTTTCCTGAAAAGCTTCTTTCAAAAGAAGCCTGCAGTCTAGACATAGCCCCAGAGTCCCAGGAGGCACTGGGGAGGAATAACTTTAGACTGGCCTTAGTGAAGGGCTATTTTGACATAGTAGCAGTGGAGTGTCTACACACACCCTCTTCCAAAAAAGCTTTTTTTGGAAAAGGGCTTATTCCTCGTGGAATGAGGTTTACCGCTGAAGGAAAAAGATGTCTGTTATTTGGATTTTCTGTCAAAATAACTCAATTGTAGTGTGAATGCTAGTATTGTTTTTCCAGAATAATGGCCGTTTAGATGCACCCTCAGGTTGGGTCCTAGGGTCAAGTTTGGGACTCAATGAACTGGCCTCCTAATAATACTCCGAAACCTGCATACAGTGGCATTCCATTTATAATCAATGAAAATGAAAGACTTAAATTTGTCAATGCTTTTTAGTGCACAAATCACAAATCTAATAATAGTAAGCCTGTGCCTATGCTGAGATTGCTTTATGGCAGGAAGAACATCTTAGTTATGATTGCACTGCTGTTATTTTTAAATAACTCAACTCCTCTCATTTCTAGCCTTCAAGCAGGGTTGAAACACTGAACTGAAAAGTCACTCGGCGCTCACATATTTTGTAAATTATACTTCTTAACTTTTCTCCTTCCCCCTTGAGCTTCTTTTTATATTCAGGTTTATAATGCCAACATTACACTTATGCATGTGAAGTATTATATTTAAAGAGGATGGCAGGAGCAGCTGAGCAATGCAGTAGAGAGCAGCTGAACCAGTGTTGCACATTATATTTCTTTTGTATTGCCACTTTCATTCTGCCTTCCGAGGACTGCTGCAAAACAGCAGCTTTTTAGAGTAGAATATGTATAACCTCTACAAGGTAACTTGGGATGAGTGCAATCTCCACAGAGACACATTGAATAAGCTTCCAAGGGTTGTAGGTGGAGAGAAGAAGCGTTCCAAATTCCAGTTCTGGTCAAGAGTGGCGATATGTGACACAATACAATACTAAAGGTACAGAATAGCTGTGAGCAATTTGGTCTGATCAGTGACTCCAAAGCCCTGCAATCTGAGTCACAGATCACTATGTTGACCTTATATTGACTAAAT